CAAACCCCAGTACTGAAAAAAAAAAAAAAAACTCTCTCAATGACACTTTCAAATTATAGTTGAAATGATTTGTCTCAGATCTGCTTTAAACTAATCCAGGAGAATAAGTGGGTATTGACCAGTGCTTCCTCTTCAGAGGGCATTTAGTAATGTCTGGAGAGTCTTTTGGTCATCATAGTTGGAGGGTTGCTACTGACATCTAATAGGTAGAACCCAGGAATGTAGTTAAATATCCTATAATACACACACACACACACACTCACACACACACACACACACACACACACACACACACACACACACAACAAAGAGTTATTTAGCCCAAAATAGCATTAGTGTGAGGTTGAGAACCTTGGTTAGATTGAAAAAAAACTGGCGTATAGTAATAATGTTGAAGTGGTAAGTACTAGGGTTTTATTAGAGTGTTCTCCTTACTCCTGAGTAAATGTGAAAGTTTTCATACTAAAAAACTTGAAAATATATGTTCAATTTATATTTTGTAAAATAAGTAAGCCCTCACCACTTTCTACAAAAAATTCCCACTCTTTATAGAGCCCTGTTCTTCCAGCTGAGTCTAGATAGGAAACCACAGCTTGTCACTCACCCTGTGGAATGCTGCCCTCAGGCTGGCAGACCAGGAGGGTATTTAATTCCCAAGGCTCACTTTCATCCCCAGTCCCACATGACACTGAGTTGAGCTGTTTCCAGGCCTAGACAGGTAGAACTGGTACTTTTCACTTAGAAGTTCTTTGGCTCTTGTTGGTCTCTTCAGCAGTTGAGTCCCATCTGCTTTGCTTACAGAAATCCCTCAAAGTTTCTGGTATACAGATGCTACCCTTTGCTCCCTTCCAGATATGCTGTTGATTCATTAGTATTTTTTATTTTTTCTATCATTTTGGTATGTTTTAGGGAAGAGGAAAAAGTAATCTCCCTAATTTGTGGATTCGGCCACTGTCTTGAGCCAGATATCTCTACTTACCTTCTTAAAATACCTAATATACTGTCCTCTGCAGTTGGAATTTAACAAGGGCATATTTCATGATAAATCTACTACTTTTATTCATTCATTTAACATACCCAGTATTGTTAATTCGTATTATGTGAGAGCTCTCATGCTAGGTTTTAAGGTATACAGAGAGAAATAAAACAGATGTAAACCTTGCCTGGTGAAATTTATAGTATAAAGGAGGGACACTCATTAATCAGCTTCAGTCAAATAAATAATTACAAAGTATGAGAGGTATTTCAAGGGAAATGATAGGGTGCTCTGTGAGAATAACACAAAAATAACACAGTCAGCAATATTGACATAGTGCATGTGTGCTAGTTACTGTGCAAGAGCTTCACATGGTTGATCTCATTTACTCTTCAGAATAACTTACTTTAGAGATGGTAAATTTAGTATTAGAAGTCAGAGAAGACCTATTTGGAAAGTGACACTTAAAATAAGACCTGAATGAGTAGGAGTTAGCCAGGTAAAGAATGGAGGGAGGCTGTGTGAATCAGAGAAATAACATATTCAAAGTATAAGGATAAATAAACTCAGTATAGAGGGGATGCCAGGAGTGGAGGTTTAGTGATCAAGGAAAGAGTGGCAGGAGATAGGGTAGTTACGGGCTAAGTTAGGAAGGTGTTTATGGGCCCAGGCAAAGAGAATAGACTTTATTCTACAGGCTTAGGAAACCATTAAAGGAGAAGAACATGGTCTGAGGTTTTTTTTGGTTTTTGTGTTTTGGTTTTTTTGAGGCACTGGGGTTTGTAGGCAGGTGGTCTTACCACTTGAGCCATTGCACCAACCCTATGATCTTAGTTCTTTTCTAGATACCACTTTGTCTGATTTAGGAGAATTGGTTGGCAGAAAGTGGAATTTACTGGCAAGAGAGTACGGAGGCTGGGACTAGAGTATTTGATGACAGTAAAAAAATGGAACAAGGCAAACAGAATTGAGGTATTGGTTCTAGCCCTATAATACATTACTTTCAGCTAGATTGGTTATAGGAGATAAGCATGAGGGAAAAATCAAGGGGATTTCCACATTCCTTACTTGACCAACAGAGAGGGTAAGAATACTAACATTAAATGGTGAGGGGAAGGTTTAGACAAAAAGTTTGTGTTGCCTATGAAATTTAAAAGTGGAAGGAACTGAGAGCTCAGAAGAGTGGCCAGGGCAAACAGTGCAAATGTGGGAATTGCTAGCATATCATTTGTACTTACAGCCATCTATCTGATCAGATCAACTAGATAGAGTGTAGAAAAGAGTGCCAAAGGCAGAGGCCTGAGGAGTTCCCACAGTAGGAGAGCTGGTGTTGGAAGAGAAACAACTAGCAAAATAAGACAGATGGAACAGCCAAGAGATAGAAAAGTGCTTTGTTGTAGAAAACAAGAAAGTCTTCAAAGAGGAGAAAATGGTCTGTGGTGTTGGATGTTCATTTTAAGATGAGAGCTACATACCACATACCATGTTTGAAATTACCAAAGAAACATGGTATAACATCTCCCATGCTTGTAATCATAGCACTAGAGAAGCAAGAGGGTCACAAGTTCACTCCAGCCTAGGCTACATAGCAAAACCCTATCTCAAAATAAAAAAAACAACTATGCCAGGCATTAGCTACTTGAGAGATGAAGATTGGAGGATTGCAGTTTGAGGCCAGCCCAGGCAAATAGTTTGCAGATCCCATCTCCAAAATAACCAGAGCAAAATTTACTAGAGAGTAGAGTGCCTGCTTTGCAAGTACAAAGCCCTAAGTTCAAACTCCCCAGTCCCACCAAAAAACAAAAAAAACCTCTCCACACCTCCCTACAACTGTTTCTGTTCCTTTCCTCAGAATATCTTTATGTTAAGTTCTCATGAAATGGTTGTCTCCCTCTGCCCTCTTTCTATCTTTATTTCACTCCAGTTAGTTTTTTTCACCCATACTCAATTGAAATCATTCAAAAAGGTCATCAAAGGCCATCAAAGGTAGAGTGGCTCAAGCAGTAAGACATCTGCCTAGCAAGTGTGAGGCCTTGAGTTCAAACTCAGTCTCTCTCTCTCTCTCTCTCTCAGACACAGACACACACACACAGACACACACACACAACACACACACACACACACACACACACACACACACACACACACACACGGTCATTTATAGCTGCCACTTGTCAAATCCAGTTTCACTTCTCTGTCTTCATCCTGCTTAATCTCTGAGCAGTATTTGATTGATTGATTACTCCCTCAAAAAATTCTTTTTGTCCTTGGTGACACCAGTTTCTGCTGGATTACCTCCCACTTAACGGCTGTTGTTATGAGTACAAATCCAGTTATATCTCTCCTCTGTTCAAAGCCCTCTAGCATATAGTATTCCTCATCACATTCAGTATTAAGCCACACTCATTGCCATGGCCTACAAAGTGTGAGTATTCTGGTTCCTGCCCACCCCTCAAGATGCATCTTGTACAACCCTGACCTTTATGCTCTTTCTTTCTTTCTTTTTTTTTTTTTTATTTCATATGTGCATACAATGCTTGGGTCATTTCTCCCCCGCCCCCACCCTCCCTTACCACCACTCTGCCCCCTCCTCTCCCCCAACCCCTCGATACCCAGCAGAAACTATTTTGTGTGCTGTTTCTTGAACTACCAAGCTCATAAGGGCTATTATGTATGTTATTCCCTGTGCCTTCACCATATGTTTGTATGGTTCACTTTGTCTTACCATTTATAGATCTCTGCTCAGATTATATCTCTTCAGGGAGATCTCCCCCAACTACTCAACCATTATATCCCTGTACATCACTTTCTATCCTCTACCCTGTCTTTTTGGTTTTTGTTTTTTTGTGGTACTGGAGTTTGAACTTAGTGCTTCGTGCTTGATAGGTAGGCACTCTACTCTCTTGAGCCCTCTGCAACCTTTTTCTCGCGCTGGGATATTTTTTTAGATAGTCTGGTGAACTGTTTGCTAAGGCTGGCTTCAATTGTGACCTCCTGATCTCTGCCTAGTGGAGTAGCTAGGATTACAGGTGTGAGCCACCAGTGCCCAATTCTCTTAATCTTGTTTGTTTTTCTTCAAGATCCCTGTCCTTGTCTAAAAGTATGTGTTTACTTGTTTATGAACAGTGTCTTTCCTTCCCCATAGAATATAAGCTATTGCTGGTCTGGCCTGAGTTCTCTATTCCCAGTGTTCAGAACAGTGCCTGGCATACAGTTGCTGGTCTGTAAATATTTTTTGAATAAATTGTGCTAAGAGGTAGAATTAGATAAGGATGGAATTTAACAATGTGCTAATTTTTGGTATCCTTATGGAGGCAGTTTCAGTGGAGAACTGAGGATGGGAATCAGAACAAATAGAGGTAGGAAAGCCTGGAGATACAGAATTGAGAGAAAAGAGATTAGACAAATGTTATGAAAAAAAAGAGGCTGATGGTAATCTGGAGATAGGTAGTGAGGTCAAGAACATAAATCTTTAGGGTGACAGTAATGGATATAGTCCAGAGTCCATATGACCTTTACATGGGAAGGACATATCCTCCCAAATAGCAAAGAGGTATAAACTCAGACTGGTTGTGTAGTCTGTGATGGGATGAATGGAGTCCTGACCTACTTGGTGAGCTGCATGAGAAATGGGGCTAGGTACCTAACAGAAGGTATCTAGCACATTCCCTGTGGAATGATGGGAAGGCTTACCTATTTTCAAACTAGCCTTTGTCGTAGTTCGGATCCTGGGTGGCAGGGGAAGGTGCTCTTCAGCTCACACTCAAACTCTTCTTCTTCCACTTCCTTCTCGTTCTCTCTCTCTCTCTCTCTCTCTTTTTCTCTCTCTAACACACACAACACACACACACACACACGTACACACATTTTTGCTATCACTGTTGACTGTGTGTGTGTTTCCACATCCTGCCATCTACAAAAGCATTGAACAAGCCCACTTCTTCATCATTATTTTCCCTGAGCATTCACTTGAGCCTTCCCATTGCACAACACAGTAATAAACTTGTCTTCTTTGGTTTTTCAGATGAGACTCCCAATTATCGCAGTGATGGTGGCCCTGTCCTCTCTGCTAGTAATCGTGTTTATTATCATAGTTCTGTACATGTTAAGGTGAGCATTTTAATGTTTCTGCATTATCTTTAGATTCTGTTTTAACGCCCCAGTGTCTTGGTAAGTCCACATAGTCCTGAAGACAGTAGGATAAGGACAGTGAATAGGTAAGACTCATGATAGTGCTGAGGTTAAAATTCTACTTAGAAATGGTTGAAAAAGCTCTACATAGTCTTCCTTAAGCTCTAGCCCTTCCCCTTTGCTTCGCATCTGTCCAAACCCAGTTTAACCCCAACTCATTTTTCAACCTAAAATCCAGAATAGTGGGCTTAGAGGTTGGGAGAAGAAACCAAGTCTGAGTTATTAGCAAAGGTGTTTCAGGATCTTCAGCTCTAACCCTGTTGACAGCAGCCCCTGAAAGGGCCCCAGTGAGATTACACACACAACAAATCCTTTATTTCTGGTTGGAACTTTGTCCCCAGACTCTCCAGGCATGGCTAACTCCCTGGCCCTGGCATGCTGAGCTGAGCCATGGAAGATCTAGGATTCCTCTTTCTGACTTTCTTTCAGAGGTCTCCAGATATTACCCCTCAACACAGTGAGCAGGAGCAAGGGAAGGGAACCCAAGGGAGAGAGGATGATGGTGCATTTGTTGTCTTCCTGCTGATGATACTGCCCTGACTGCCTGGGGTTAACTCTGCCTTATTTGGCCTAACTTGCTCTGTGGTCCCTCTGTTTGCAGGAATAAAGAGGGACCTTGTATGCCTCCACAGTTTGGCATGTGTCTCCGTCAGACATGTGTTCGCCAGCCTAGAGCTCTGGCCTTCTCCTTGAAGCTTTCAGGCTACACTGGGGAGAGAACCAGAATTTTTTGTCTCATGTAGATCTTCCTCTCTCTCCCTACTACATTGCACTCACTCACCCTTTCTCCCCTGGTGTTTCTGTGCTCTCAAGTGAGTTCTGGAACTGGAAGCTGCACAGAGAAGCCATGTAAGCAAGAATATATCAGTGGTGTTACTAGGGTTGGGTTCTAGGGTGTCAAGGACCCATCCTGAGGAACTCAGTCACATGGAATAGGGCTGCCTCAGATGTGTGTAATTGTCACTAAAAAGTCTGATTACTTGACAAAGAGATTTAAAAAGGTTGAGCTGATAAGCAGGAGTACAAAGCCAGTGACTCCTGTCTCTGTGCCTAGTTTTTCATTACAAACATTTTTCATTAGGTTTAAGAAATACAAGCAAGCTGGGAAGCCATTCCAATTCTTTCCGTTATCGAACGGCCGTACTGAGGATGTGGGTAAGGCACATCCCTTCACTAGGGAAGAAAACTAAGAAATTAGGGTTTCGCCATCCTTTGAAAAGAATAATACTCTTAGTCTCCAGAAAAGGGACTGTATCCCCAGGGTACCTGACTGACGTTCCCTTTGTGCACTGCAGAGCCTCAAAGGTCCCACTTCTGGCCAGGTCCCCAAGCACCAACAGGAAGTACCCACCCTGCCTGTGGACAAGCTGGAAGAGGAGATTAACCGGAGAATGGCTGATGACAATAAGCTCTTCAGAGAGGAAATTCAACGTGAGTTCCTTTATTGAGCTGGTATTGTCAGCAGGGAGGAAGGCAGATCTAAGGTCAGGC